GGGCTGAGGTGTGAACCTATAAAAGCCCATTTATACATGACATAGTTGTATGATACACATAAAGAAAAAAAAAAAATATATATATATACATATAAGAAAAGGGTAGTCTATGACTGACTAGTTGAGGTAAAATACTAGTGATTTAGAAACAAACACTGTGGTTCAATTCTTCATAGGGTTGCAGTCAAAATTTTAGGCATCAAATAAGTGAACTCTTCGTTATTTAGCCGAGCTTTCGGAAATGTTTATTTCCTTTTTCAAGACATCTATAAGAAAAATGGTATGCATAAAAAACAACATCAAACTCATATGAAACTAAGTACTTACTTAACATGAGATTGGTTTAAAGTTGGAACAATTAAAGAACAGACGATTCATTTGCTGAATTTGTTACACAAACTGGAAGACATTAGGATTTGTAAAACGTAGAAAACAATTTAAAAAACAGTAAACCACCGGTGCTTTTTCATAGTCGACTTCGATATCTCAACAAGATGGAAGCTAACAAACGGCCACAGATGATACAAATAATACGGAAAGAGCCGAATCGATTTCGATATCGATTACGAAAAGGTAAGGATGGTGGGAAATTTGAATTGATAATTGGGTGGTGAGCCAACTTATTATTGAGGATTTGTTATTGATAATCTGGAATCTATGAGTTTGATGTTGTTTTTTATGCATACCATTTTTCTTATAGATGTTTTGAAAAAGGAAATAAACATTTCCGAAAGCTCGGCTAAATAACGAAGAGTTCACTTATTTGATGCCTGAAATTTTGACTGCAACTTTATGAAGAATTGAACCACAGTGTTTGTTTCTAAATCACTAGTATTTTATATACATATATATATATACGTATGAAAAATATTTCATCGAATCTATGACAATTCTGCAGTCTGTTTCATATTTCCTCGTATAAACCTCATGAAAAGTTACTGTATTTATACATTTCACAATTTTCGACAATGACCGACACTATATTCCTTTTTCAGAACATAGCGATTTTCATCACGTTTAAACCTATTCTTCTTCATCCCGGGACAATCTGGAACAAATTTTCATCGCATTTTGTGACGACTACGATGCAATTTTACAACCATTCAATTATCACTCTGTAACAATGTTATCTGAAATTACAGAAGTTTCATATTGCCAAGACGTCAAGAGATTATGCTAATCATCGGTGAAAACCGATTTCAAATTGGTAAGGAAATTCGTGAGATATTCTACTTTGAACTCAGGCTATATTTACTACATTAATAATGATATCATTTTCTTTTTAATATAAACATGTACACTGAAGTTGAAAATTTGTCCATGATCATGTAATATTTTTTCCCTACCACTAACTAAAATTGATTTTCTTATTTAGTACAATTGACATAATGAATACATTTTTATATTATCTAAAAATAACTATAAGAAACATGATATGTTGCATAAGTATGTTTTCATATAATCAAATTTCTAAAATTTCTAAATTCTCAATCAACCAGGATTTAATTTTTTTCTTGAATAAAAAAAAACTGACTTTTCGCAAAGAAGGAGGCAATTTATTGTATTTTTTTTTACCTATATGAATAAAAGTTGGAGAGAATTTCTCAATTGATTTCCAACCATCAATTTTATTTTTGGTGTCATATCTGAGTTTTACATGATTATAGTTTTGTAAATGTTTTCTTATGTATATTGTTGATGTTTTATAAAACAATTGATCAACAGATCCTTAGTTTTTGTATCAATTCATCAATTCGTTTATGCCATATGAGCTTGCAATCTAAGTGAATTCCCAAATACTTTACTACATCAATTTTAATTATGGAATAGTATGTATCTTCAATTTATCAATTCTTTTTGGTTGCATATTATCATTAAATGTGAATGTCATAAAATTCGATTTTTGAAAATTTAGAGTCAGTAAATCATGATCAAGATTGTTTTTAATAATTGATAAATCAAATTCAGCATTTGATACTGTTTCTTCCCAAGTATTTCCACTACCTATATACACTGTATCGTCAGCATAAGAAAATAAATTTCCTTTTATCTTTGTTTTCAATATATCATGCTTTCTTCAAATCTAAAAATATTCCAATAGTTTTTCGTTTATTATCTAAGGATTTATAAATAGTTTCAGTAACACACTACACTGTTTTACCACTAACCAAACCGATTTTTTAACGCCTCGACACGTGTTTCGCTAACTATGTTAGCATCTTCAGGAGAAGATTAAAATCAATCTTCTCCTGAAGATGCTAACATAGTCAGCGAAACATGTGTCGAGGCGTTAAAAAATCGGTTTGGTTAGTGGTAAAACAGTGTAGTGTATTATCGTGCCAAAGGTTCCAGTCTTCGATATATAGTTTCAGTAACGTTGAATATTGCATCTTCTGT